GGTAGCCTTTCCAGGCCTTTGATCATCTGGTTGGCCCTTCTCTGGCCCCTCTTCAGCCTGTCCACATCTTTTTTTTGTATTACAGGGACCAAAACTGAACACAGTATTCCAGGTGTGGCCTGACAAGTGCTGAGTAGAGAGGGATCATGACTTCTCTATAGGTGATGCCTTGTTGATGCAACCCAGCATCCTGTTTGCTTTCTTAGCTGCTGCAGCTCATTGTTTACTCATATTGAGCTTGTTGTCCACCAGGACCCCCAGGTCCCTTTCCATGGAGCTGCTCCCCAGCCAGATAGATCCCAATCTGTACTGCACCCCTGGATTATGTTTTCTCAGGTGCAAGACCTTACACTTGTCCTTGTTGAACTTCTTAAGGTTCTTGTTAGCCCACTCTTCCAGCCTATTCAGATCTTCCTGCAGGGTGGCTCTCCCTCCTGAAGTATCAACTTCCCCACTCAGTTCGGTGTCATCAGCAAGCTTCATCAGGGTACACTTGATCCCATCATCCAGAGCACTTACCAAGATATTAAACAGCACTGGGCCCAATATCAATCCCTGGGGGACCCCACCTGTTACAGGTTGCCAGTTTGAGAAGGAGCTATTTACCACCACCCTCTCAGCCAGTTCCCTGCCCACTGCACAGACCACTTGTCTGGACCATAACGCATCAGTTTCTCTAGGGTTAGGCGGTGGGGAACCGTGTTGAAAGCCTTGGAGAAATCCAGGTAGACAATGTCCACTGCTCACCACTCATCAACCAGGCAGGTTGCTTTGTCATAGAAGGCATATGAATAAATCTTTTTGTTAGAAAACTGTTAATGTACAGTAATCCTCAAAATATTGTCTTTTTTTAGTGCGATTAACAAGTTTGTTCTTTCCTTTGTAAGCAGGCAAAGCCTTCCACTGTAGAAGTATTAGAAAAAATTGATAAGGTATGTATTTGCTTTTTGGTGTTTTGTTTGATTTTTTTTTTTTTGTTTAGAAATAAGCATCCTTTTTGCTGGCCATGTATTTCTTTTACATTAGGTAAAATACTGTCATTAAATTTTGAATTATTTTGATAATTATTCCAGTTGGATGTACTAGAGACTCTGAGTTTCAGATGGACTGACACCTTTTTTCCCCTTACTATTAGTCATTTAGAAAAAAACATACTGCATAATAGATAGTGAGAAACTACAGTTTAAATATTTATTTAGAGTGCCTGAAATGGACAGAAATGTGAAATCAGCTTGATTACACAATTTAATTGTAACTAATGGTTAAACTCCTATGTAATGGAAAATGTCACTAATGCAAAGTTCCATTCATCAGGCTCATTAGAAATGCTTCAATGTATGGTTTTAAGTGTAAGAATTGTAACTGTAGTGGTTGTAAGTAAGGTCCGAGGCAGAATAACTGAATAGATGGTTCAGTAATCAATTTTGATTTTTTTTTTTTTTTTTTTAGCCAGGATTTGTGACAGATGTCTGTACTCTATGGGGAAATTAACTGTTTTGAAATATGCTGTTGATATTTTCTGTTTTCCTTTTAATGAAAGTGTGAGTACGCCTGTTGTCACTTGAAATGCAGTCAAAATGGTAACATAGTAGAGCATTGCTTGATCACTTATTAATATGCCAAAAGCATCGTTTAGGTGTTCAGGATTTCACTCTTAATGTGAGGAAAATACTGAAATGAAAACATGTGAATTGTTGGAGACGTTTCAGCAATTTACCATGTTATAGGAAAGTATTAGAAGCATTTGAAATTCTGTAGGTGCCTGATGAAAGTTTTGGGATGCAAAGTATGGTTGGTAGCAATTTATGTGGTCTTAAAGACTGCTGTTCATAACATATTAGCATTTTCTGCTTGTCCCAAATATGCTAACGCATTACAAATAGGAAAAAGTGCTGATTTGTAGTATTTCTTCCCAATAGTGATGTGTTACTGCTAATACAGTGCAAGTGGCCCATATCATAACCTTAATAGTGTTATGTATTTATGCTATGAAAGTTATCTTTGGGCAAATATTGTCATTTATCAAAATGCTTGACTTTTCTAATCAAGTATCAAATTGGTATGGCTAATTTTAGCAAACACTTAAAGGCAGCTTAGTAAAACCACCAACTAATTTCACTAATAAGGTTGAACCCTGTTTGCTTACAGGAAATACAGACATTAGAAGAATTTAGAGAAAAAAATCAGAGGCTACAGAAACTATGGGTTGGAAGGCTGCTTCTCTACTCTTCACTCCTTTACCTTTTCACCTGCTTAATTGTATATTTGTGGTGTCTTCCTGATGACTGGACAGCAAGGTTGATTATGACACTTCCATTTTTTGCATTTCCATTGATGTAAGTAAATACACCTTTTTTTTAACTGCTGTCCCTTTGATAAAAGGAGATGAAAATACATCTCAGCAGGGGTTTGGGTTTGCTTTTGACAATTCTTGAGTTGTCATAACTTGCTGAATTTTCTCTTTTAAAATAAAGCCAAGTAGTTTGGCAGACACTTTCTTTGAGGGAAATGTCTCTCATGGGTCTGGGTTTAGTGTAGAACTAAGTCTTGCTATCAAAAGATGTTAGCATCTAAAGTTACTTGGCTTATCAAAATTATACTAGAGCTAGGCAGAGACTGTATCTGAACACCTGCCAGGTAGTGTAATATAAGTAGAAGAATACTATCTGGGGCTTTATTTCTACAGCTATTTGGAAAAGTAACGCTACTGTATCAAAGTGACCTAAGGTATGTCACCTGTATGTAAAATGCAGTGTATAAAATTGGGAAAAAATAAAAGAATGAATGGTGAAACTTTTACATATTAGGTGACTGTTAACACAGAATTGACTTGAAAGGTCATCAGCCTAAATATGTTGAGGGCTAGTTTTACATAATTAGCTGTTTTTCTGGAAAATCATTGACTGGTTTCTTCAATCAGAAAATATCCTAACATTGTTGGATGAGAGTAGGAGAAAGAATTGTCTACTTTTTTGTTCCACTGAGCTGATCGGCTGCTCATCCTCACAAGTAGCTTTTTATTTCTAAGAAAGCTACTATTATAAAAATAAGAAAATGTGCCCCCATCTCACTGAACAGTGGCTTCCCTGCCTTCCCTTCCTCTAGAACATCAAGGAGGAGAAGCAGCCTACTGAGCATCTTTCCTACTCATGGGGAGCACATTGCATTTACTCATTGCCTGAAATGAAGATCTTAAGTACTGTTCATATTCATACAGCATCTTTGTATGAAAACATGAACTTGTCAGTGCCCTAGCTTTGGACTTGAAAGACAAAGTCAAATGTAAATATTTAAGGCTTTGCAAGTTTGATTAGTGTGGGTCTGCATAATGTAATATGCAAAAAAAATACTTGAAGGTGCTTTTTGTACGTTATGTATAACGCAGTATAATGTACTAATATGCTGCTGTTATGGAATCCTGTTGAGAAGATACATGGGCAGCAATATCTGGACTGGAAAGGATTAATATAGAAATTAAAGTTCAAATTAATCTTTGGTAGTAATATGAATTGATTTTGTTCTTAAGGACAAGGATTTGAAGGTCTTTGTTAGCATGTAAGGCTTGCTCATGCTAACAGGGAAGGCTGGTAGAAGAAGTATTGCCAGCTTCCCTTCACTTAGGTATTTTAGGATTTGTGTAGAAATGAAAACTTTTATTATGTGAAGGTGATGGCTTCTAGCGCTGTGATGTGAATTTTCACATTTGATTTTTATTCTCTAGTTTTTGTCCTCCAACACCTGGGATTTTTTTTTTTCTTGAATGGCGGGTTTCTATAAAATTCTGAATTGGGTATCGGCTTACTAATGCTTAGAATTAGACTGTTGTTCTCTTACGACTTGCAAGTGTGTATCTGATTTTTTTTCGTAAGCTATTGCCCTTCAGCTTTTTTTGGCAGATATGAATGGCAAGCAACTGCCAGCTTGTCTTCATTCTCGGTCAAGAGGTGACTCCATGCTGTATGCCTGGTGCCACCCAGTAATGGCTCTAGAGATTTTTCAGCCCTAATCAAACTGGAATATGTCTGCCTTTTCCAGCCTGCAGTCAGTCACCAACTTATTTATGCCTTAGGTCATTCCCTCAGGGTCTCAGCAAGTTACTGATGCTGGTAGAGCGAGTTAGGTTATAGGAATACATAGCATCATTAATTTTAAATGTATATTGAAATATCTGAGAAGTTGAATAAATACATTAGCATGTTAGAAGGATGATTTTCATTTGAATTAAATTCTGTTTCGCCTTACATGTTCTGTTTTCGGAGTAATATGTTTTTGTTTTGTAATGTTGGTCTGAAATGGTCTACTATTAAACTTTCACCTCGAAGTTCTTAAGAGGAAATGCTTTTTATTTCATGAAGTCCTACCATATATCTATTAGCTTAAATACAGCTTTAGATAGAAGACTCTTTATTAAGCCTACAGTAAAAAAGAAATAATGTTTTTGCTGATGTAACAGTCTTTAAGGCAATTCAAATCCTGTAAAACATTTATTTCTTTTGATCCTTGCATTGTGTAAGCAGGCAAAGCCATCCATATTCTTAGAGTAGCTATTACAACACACCTTTGAACATGGAATAGAGTTAAACTTCTTTCCCTGTTTCTTTGACCTTGGATGGGTTACTGTTGCATTCCAGTTGTCTTGTCTGATGACTTACCTGAGTTAGGTTGTGTTGTTAATACTTGAAAGCATTTTGAACTGGGTGGCCGTTATATAAATGCACAAGATGTTCTCATGAATTAAGTTGAAATTGTTTGACATCTTATAGCCTTTTGCCTGCTTTTGTACGCTAGCGTTATTCAGAGAACCTTTCTAGCCTTTAAGAATTTTTTTTTTCTTTCCCCTCAAATGAAACATTGCCACTTTAGGCTTTATTATATAGTTCTTGGCACTAGGAGGGTTTTGGATAAGATGCTTGGAAGGGCTTGAGGTATGAGATTTGCCACTTGGCTTAGGCTGAACAACTTGCCAGGAAAAGTGTCAACTTAATAATTATAAGCAATTCTGAGCTTTAAAACAAATGAAGTCCTGCTGATTGCAGAGAGACCTTTCAAATGTAAAATGGTCATAGATCAGTTTAACTTTATCTTGGGCACAGATAAACCGCTCCATTGTTTGAGCTAAGTCAGCTGAAACAGTACAGAAACTGAGTGGATTCAGAGCTCTGTAAAATTGCCAGGAGTCAGGTCAGTTAACTCTGCTTGGGAGAGCATTTGTGCAATAGCTGTATCTCATGGTTTTCATTGATATTGAATTCTTCCCACAAATCTCCCAGGTCTTAATTTTGGGCCTTAGCTGGTGAGCTTGGTTTTCTGGATAACATGCATCATAAATCTATCAAATCAGAAGTGATGACAAAGTCCTTTTTAGCTAGCTACACGTACCTTGATTTTAAAAAGTTCCCACTGAACATTTTAGGAAGTGATGATGTTAATTGCTGCTGCTTCCTTAGTATTTCTACCTATGGTAATACTCAGTTAAATTTTAATAGACAGGAGGATTTTATTTAGATCAATGTTGATGTCTTGTTGACAAGATACTAATTTAATTTTTAGTTTTCTGTTTAAATATTGTTTGAAGATTTCTGTTCTTTGTATTTGCAAAGTTAAATCTCATCTGGTAAGTCTTCTGCATTAGCTATCCTGTTTGCTAAATGACTTCAGAAATGGTCACGGTAATGTATTTTAATTAATGTAATTCTTCTTTCTCTTTTAAAGAATCTGGTGTATAAGAACACTGCTCATTTTTTTCTTTTCCAAAAGGACAGAGAGGAATAGTAAGTATTTTTTCTGTCTTTTTAGAATATGGAACTAGTTGGGAATGATGCTTGCTATAAAAATGTAGATATTTTGGGTAATTTGCCTTCCAGGAAAAGAAGAGCAGCCTTTTGGTTTGATGCTGAAATGGGTAACATTAGCTAAACTGTTTCTACCACGCAGTTCTTGAAAGAACAGGAAGCAAACTGCTTAATCTTTTGCTTCACTTACAAAATTATGGTAACTTTCTCCCATCTTTGCATGCTTCAAAGTGTCATGGAGTAAAATGTAGTGCAGAAGTAGGAGTGAGAGAAAGGAAGTAAAAACAGTAGTAGTAGTTTCCTTAATACTTGCATCTTGCAAATATTCCAACAGTCTTAATCTGTTATCCTTATGTATAAGGGATTTATCAGATGTGTTTAATTTGTTTGTGAAGATGGCTTTTCTCTCCCGAGCTCTCAAAAGCATGTTTATGTTTTCTTGAATGCAAAAAGGAATAAGCAGGTGTTTTTGTGCTGTTTTGAGAACTAAGGAAAATAGGGAGTCACGTAACAACAAAAGTAATGCAGGTGTTCAAATATATATAAAAAGCTGTTAAAGAACATGCAGATTCATTCTAATGCAAAATTTAAAAACTGCATCTGTGGCACTTGTCTACAGTAGTTAGAATTCATTGAAGACTTTCTTTGAAAGCAGTCCAGCCTGTAACAATATCTCACGGTGATGTGAGCAATAATACAGGAAAACCTCAATGTTGCACTATGTTTTACGACTTGCAGAACAACATGATGTATTTAATTTGTGACAGCTTACGAGTTAAACATCGCTTTTGGAATTTTTCTTAAACTTAATGTTTGCATTTGATATGCAAGCATAGGACATACATTTTTATGTAGAAATAAAATTGTCCATATATTCTGTGGTGCACTATGATTCATTTCTAAGGCGAATATGTATTTGCGTTTCATGGCTGGATAAGGAAAAAAATGTATGTATATTTTTCTAGTTTGCTTATTGCTGTTTTTAGCATACAAGCAAGTCCAATGCTTTTGTTGAACCTGTGTATAAAGGGTTTTAGTAGATGTTAGAACGTGCCAGAAGGAATTTTTTCTGCATTGTTACAGAGATTGGGTAAAAATGAAGTGTCTTACCTCAAAGATACAAGTCCTTTATTTGGGAAAGAGAACAAATGTGCCGTGCAGGAGTTACAGCAGTAAAGCAAGAGAGAACATAGCTAAGAGAGCAAACTGGCAACTGAGTAATTCAAAGCTGGCCTTTTGTTCTGGGATAAGTTAATATAACACACTGAGTTACTGGAGATGATTATTTAGTACTATAAAGCTCTGTGCTGGTTATCCAGCACACAGCAGTTTTGGGAACCATGCTCTGAATGAGAACAATTTCTAGTGAAACACTAGGAAAGGTGATGCAGAGAGATTATGGAATTCCAGTTTTAAGACTGGTCAGGCAAACAGCTGTTGAGGAAGATTCAGGCTGATCTGTCCTGAAGTGTGGGGAAAATAAATGAGGTATCTTGCAGATATTGACTTGCTACTATGAATTCTTTTTTTTTTTTTTTTTTCTGTAGGTTTAATTAAGATGAGATATATTGGTTTCTTGAGAGTACTTTGCAGTAATTGCCATTTGCCCATGTTTGAAGGGGCAGGTGTTTCATGAGGTTCTTGTTGAACACAGGAGGTAAAGTGATCAGAAACAAACTCCCACACTTTAAACTGATTGCATTGCTTTGTGGGAGGCTATACTTGAAGATGTTCTAGGCATTTCTGTCCCAAAAGCAGCTTCTGTTTCTTAAGTTACTTAACAGCTGACCGTATTGTGCCATTTGTTTGTCTGCATGGTACCATACTGCGCTGCAGTGCATTTCAAGATGTTAATCTGTGTGGAGCTACATGAGAGGCTGTGTTCTAATATTAATGTAAAATTTCATGGAGGGAGGTACTTTATAAATTTGAAAATGCACAATTCCTGGAATTGTCTATCTTCTGTAATCCAGTCCAGTACTAAATATGGTCTTGTTCCATGTCCTATTTGTCTTAACAAGGGATTGTTGTAGTTACCCTTTCATTGCATAAACTTTCAAATATGTACATGCCCAGTTTTAGTGTTCTGTACATTTAATAAAGTGGTTTATTCTATCAAAATGGGTTCCTACATTCTGGAAAAGTTCAAGTAATTATATGTTCTCTTAATTTCAAGTAACAGTAGTGTTCCTGATGTAACTTTAAAAAGTGTGTGTAGCATACTTACATATTTTTTTGTATCTTTATTTATATATATTTAGTTTGGTGGGTTTGGTTTTTTGTTTCTTGTAGTTCTATGAAGTTTTTTCTTTTTTTGAAAACTGAAAAATGGGTAAAAATAGCTATATCTTACAGGCAGTGAACCGCTGGTGTCTAGCAGAGATGAAATGGGGAAAAAGTTGTGAAGTTTTTTGTTAAATTCTTCTTGCTGTGAAGCAGGTAGTAGCAAATTGATTTATTGAGAGAATATCTTCTATATTAGGTGATGGTTTATTACAGTGTTTAGCATGAGTGCTAAGCTGCAAGCATTGACTTAAAGGAAAATCCCGTGTGTGTTTGACCTTTCTTCCTTCCCTTCCTTTTAGAGAGGTTAGGTGCTGTGCCTACCAGTCTCTTAACATTTAGTAGTAAATGACCTCCTGGTAGCTTTTCTTACAAAACTGGGAGTTTTGCTGTGGCCTGAGACTGTTGAAAGGGTGAAAGAGATTGAGATTTGAAGCCCAGAATTGACCTGGCATTTGAAACTAGCATGTGTTAAGAGGCTTACGTGAAATACTGAAGCCAGTAAATCTGGTACTCAAATAGACATATTAATACTTAGACCTCAAGCTTTTTTCTGTAGTTTGACTCATGAGATTAAGTGTATTTGGTCCATTGTTGTACCGGTTTTAATGTAGGTCAAAGTAGGGCACTGGCTAGAATTGGTTTGCTTAATGAGGAAACGGTACATAAAACTTTTTAATAGTTATAATTGTAAAGTGATAACAGCGGGCTATAATTTGTAAGCAGTTTCAGGATTTAAAATGATTTATTTTCACATTAAAACTTTGCATAAAATAAAGTTTAGTAATGTAGGGTTAGTAGTGGTCAGTATGTACTTTTTCTTACAGGGCGAAGTCAATGTTTAAAGCGTGTTGAAAATCTCTTATTTATAGTTGAAAACTAATGTATCATGTCCTTCTTTTAGATGATGCGCTGGAAGATTTAAAATCTCAAAAGAAAAAAATAGTAAGTAAAACTCCAAGAAAAGATAGTTGTTATGGTCCACTAAAGTGTTTTTGTATCGCTACAAGTTGAGTTTGATTGTAATATGTAGATGAAGAGTAGAGAGAGGGAGGTGAAACTCTTACCATTCCTCTCTTTTCATACATTTTCTAGTACTATGCAAGGTTTTTCTTACCCCAGAATTACAAAGGACTGCTTGCATATGAGAATACATTGTCTCCTTGTAGTTTAACTTAAACCTACTGTTTTAGTGTTGCTAGATCTATATAAAGTGATTCCATTTTGTCAGAAAACGAAAATGTATGCTTTAACCTACTTGTTGCTGACTACTTCTTTTACTTTAGGATTATAAAGTGTTAGGGGTTGCACCGATTTAAGAACATAGAAAGCAACTGTATCTTTAGTAGTTACTCTTACACTTAATGGCTTGTTCATAAATAGCAAAAAGGACTTCCGTCTTGTCTGGATTCACTTTTTTATCAAGTTAACAGATTATTGTTTATATCTTAAATGCATCACTACTTATTTCCCATCCTCCTCCATCTTATTTTTGTATGTCATATTTCTTCCATTACATTCTTTCCTCTGAAAAAATTTATTTTGTCATGTATCTATCCTGTCAGTTGTCTTGAGGTCATCTATTTTGTGAGTTGTGTGGATGAGTTAACAGTATAAAATGTGTATGCCAGGTATATGCTTCAACTGGATCAACACTTAATCTCGGTAAGACAAATTTAGGATGGGAAAATATTCCAAGTCTTGGATAACTTGCTCTTTGTGAAGTGTATAACACTGAAAGCTGTTTCCTCTCAATCATTCCATAAGGAAGTTCTCTGTTTACTTAAGTTGTTGGCGTCTCCTGCCTTGCAAGGCAAAGCTTAAAACCACCACCACCAAAACACAAAAAACCCCAACCATCCCTTTACCTCCAAACAAAACCAGCTCCTCTTCCCCCCAAAAAACTCTAGAAGTTGTGTTATGAAGCTTTATTGTTAATGAGTTTTCAAAGTGTTCATGTCATACCTTCTGGATTTTGCCATGGTAGCTAAATTAATAGAAAACCCACAAAAAAGTTACCAAAAAGGAGCCAGGTAAGAGTCAGGTATTATATAGCCTTTACAGGGGAAACAGATTTCACTAATCTTCCATTTTTTTATTATTGCTTTTAAAATGTAAATGTAAATATTGTAACCTGTAACCTAATTATGCCATTGTCCTTTAGTAAAGAGGATATGCCAATATTTATATCTGCTAATCTTTGTTAAAGAATCTATTAAATGGAAGTGTCCTTTGGTTGGAGAGGCTTACATTTTCTGAGAATGAAATAAATGAGTATGATAACTACCTTTTTAATTTAACTTTATGAAAACTGCTTACCTGAAATTAGTTAATCTCTCCAATTTACATAGTCATTGAGTAGCTTTGGAGGGAAAGTTTTTGGAACAGAAAACATACAAAACAAAATGGAGAACAAACCAGCTTTTGAAGTCTTAAATGTAAAGCCTTCATTTCAGTTAAGTGTATTTTTCTTTAATCATGAAAATTTTAATATTTATTCTAGAAGAATTAGTAATGCTGAATTTTTGTGTGTGAGAAGCACTTTAGAGAAAAGTCATTGAATAAAAAATTAGTCAGGAAAAAGCTGGTTTATAAAGGGCAGAGTGTTTACTTTGGGAATTGAGTCTGTTGGAAAAAAGATGTAAATGTATTTTGCATATGCAAAAAGTCATATTGTACAAGAGTGGGCAGTAGTTTAACTGTACAAATGCTTCATGAATAATATAAAAATTATAGTGTAACTATGGAGAGTTTAAACCTGGAAATATAAATTGCCATTAGTACATATGCATGTCAAGCTTTAATCGTTAAAGATAAACTTCTAAATAGGATTAGTAAGAGTTCTGGGAAGTCCAATAACCTATAACTCAGATATTTTTCAATCTGAGGGGAACAAAAAGTCCCTGATTACTTCCTGATCTTGTGAGTGCATGGTTCCTAGCAAGGAACCAGAAACAGAAGACTTACTGCAACCTCTTGAATCAGTGTGGTGTTGGTGTTTTTTACTCAGAAGATTGACTTGGGAGTTTCATCATCATTTGAAGGTATTCAATTAAGCATTAAAATTAGATCATCATACATGAAACCTAGCATGTTGAAATGAACTGAAAGTGGATGCAGGTAATGAGACAGAATAGAATTTGTATTTTAGATAAAAACACTCATAAAATTACATTTTGCAATAATTTTGTTTTGATGATAATCAGATTTGGTTTTGTTTCAGATTAACTTCTTTAGGACTATTGGTAAAACAAACCAAAAACTTTACCAAGTAAAATAATGGGAAGGGAGGGAGAGGATTTCTTCCTCTGTTGGATTCTGATTTGCTACTGAGTTTGCAAATAGGATTAGTTACTAAGATTGTGATCCTCAAAGTATCTGGGATAAGTAAATTATGTATTTCCTGTTTGTTTGTAATGCAAATTGTTGTCTAGGCACTCCGCGGCTGTGGTTTTTCACTTCATTGCAGCTTGGCTACCTGATTGCCGGAGAAATCTTATATTGAAGACAGTTTTCCTCTTGAAAAATGTTACAGTACTTGAGTTTTACATGCGGTCCAGCTTTTCCCTGCTGACATTACTTACATGCTGATGGGTACCTGTAACGGAGTAAGCGCCTCATCCTCTATAGTGTCCTGGTGGCTGTGCAATGAATTGCTCAATAGAACTTTTAGTTCTGTTCAAAAGGCTTCGGTCTTTGGTGCCATAATCACATGGATATTCATATGGATGACATATCTGGCAAACACAAATATGGATACTTCATCTGGAAGTGCCCATTAATATTGTCTATCCTATACTTTGACTCAAAGTTTGTGTAATACTTATTTTCCCCAGAACTGCGACTCTACACTGTTTTTCTTAGTGAATGCTTTAATACATGTTGAGTGTTTCTTTATGGATTGGGCGTAGGGATTAAGTTCATTAGCTATAATTAAGGCAGTATTTCAAGATACAACCTTCTTTTCCCTCCTTGATTGTAAGGGATACTCTGGTTGTGTTTGTGATTGTGTTGCTGTAATTTTGGCCTTAGAGTCCTCAGTTAATGAGGATGTCAGCCCTTAAGCCTGAATGTGTATAGATGAGCAAGTTCAGAAGGTTAAGCGTATTAAAGCAAGGGCACAGGACGTGTATTAAGCTGCTGCAAGTGGGAATTAGTGGAGACTTTACCTGGAGCGGCAGTCTTAAAGATGGGATAATTCTTAGCCTGAGGACAGAGTTGTGAAGATAGTATAGTAATTACTTTGCTAATGTTAGAATTAAACTTTGCTGAAGTTTGCTTAGCTAGTCTGTTATAGTAGGCTGTGTGTACTATTAGACTTGGACAGACTTCCTAGCCATTTCAGATAAGAATTCAGAAAGCTGCGTCTGTTAATTTTCCAAGGAAAAAGAAGTCCGGTTTGAAAACTGCCTTGGAATTATGTTAATAATAAATAACAAAATTCATATGTTGCACTTTTCTTTCTAAAATAACTTTTTAATGAACTTTATACCTTCAGCCTTCCAGGCATAGAAAACTGTAGCTATTTTGATAACCTTCAATATGTGACAAAAAGTCTGCTAGGAGTTGACTGTTGTATAAGCCCAGTCTTGTCTACCCAATATATGCTAGAGTACTGCAAATGTGCAATTGGAAGCTCAAAATACGGTTAAAAATCATGATGAATGATTGAATGAGGTATTTCTTTCATGCAGTGTTTACACAAAACAGTTGCTTTGGTCGGATTACTGTTTGCATGGATCTGTTGAGAGTACACTTGATTATTGTGGCTTAAATGATTTATTTCCTATTTTAAGGGAACTTTTGCTGTGTGTGCTTGCGTATCTTATGTGGTAGACTGAAATGAATCTTGTGGCTTTGTGTGAACATAAGTAGCTCTCCATGATTGTGTTTGACATCCCAACTAATTCAATTTTGAGAACTCACGTGATAGTATGGTGAATAAGTAGTTTGCACCATGCCAATACTTCAGACTTCCAGTTGCTAAATCACGTTTACAAGAAGCTTAAAATACGTTACTCGTATTACTTCTCAATATAGGCTACTGATGTCGTTGCCACAGGAATTCTGTTTGGTTGCCAGTTGGAAAGGAGGCCATCCATGCAGTTATTCATAGGAGAGAATGTGGTACATGACCATGCTTCTTTATTAAGATGTGGTTAATTCCATGAAATAAGTTTGAAAAATCCATGATTAGGCTGGTATTAACTTTCATAGAGACTTCACTTGTGATTCTGGTTACTCAGCATTTAAGCTTGATAATAATAGACAATGAATTAGCCCTTGGCAGAAAGTAGCAAACGTTTTTGTGGGAGAAGTTTTGGATCTAAGAGAAGAGTATATTATGGAAAAAGAGGAGGAGGTGTCGAGCAATTTGCTGTGTTAGCGAGCCAGTGCTCAGCACTAGGTTAACCTTTCCAAGGTTATGCTTCAGGATGGCAAGTAATCCAGAAGTCACTGTGTTGATTTGCCTTTATAAACGTGCTTGCTGTGGCAGTGCACAAGCCAGTTTCTTCGGTATTTAAATTTTACCCAGGTCCTTATTTGCTTCTAGTAATTATACTAATTTGCTCAAAGAGTAAGAAAACTTTGACCTGTTTGATTCCTTCTTTGGTATTGCCAGCCAAATTTCAGTTGATTTAAAAAAAAATAAAAATATTCCTAGAAGTGAAGCCATGAGAACTGTGAGTGTGCTTCTAGAAATCTTGACAATTTCTATATATTTTCAAGGAATTTGTAAAGAGTTTTGAAACTGAATTCTTGTTCAGATTTAGCCTTACTAAAATTACAAAGCTATATGTGAATTTCAAGGTCTGAAGAGTAACTTGTTGAATTATCCAGTAACTATATAATGCAAAGAATAACTTTGACATCTGAATCTTGTGATAAGAACTATTTTTTTTCCATTTCAAAATAATGTTACTGTTTTTGCACAACATGTATATCCACAAATAACTGCCATCCTATCTAATACTGCTATAACAAGAAGAGTGTTAGATAAGGAAGGTGTCAAGTGATGGTGGAGCGTTCTGTTTTTTTTCTCTTCCTAAAAGTCACTTTGTTCTGCAGAAGATTATTCCTCATTTGCCTATGTGACTATGAAGACAATTGCATGCATTATGTTCATTGATGTAAAGTGACTTGGGGTTTTTTGTTTTGACTTGGGGGCCAGGTATTGACACTGACTGTTAACACTTCCCCACTTTGCAGCTTCACCTCGCTAACCTTACTCCTTCGTATAAAGGTCTGCCTTATGGTTTTCACTTTTATAAGCAATAAATACTTTATTTTTCCTATTAGACCCTTAATTCTGATCTTATTACACTGTGTGGCATTTGTTTTACGAAGTTAGT